TGCGACCGTCCCCAGGTAGTAATACAATACTTTTGAAAGGCACCAGGTTGAGGAATGCTCTGCTAGCTAATGTACACCCAATGCTGGCTTAAATATTGCAAGTTACCTATGCCTGTGTTACATTCTTGGGGTAAATGTGGAGCGTCAGCTAGCTTTTTTGACTATCTATAGTTACCCATAAACTCACAAGCATGCCGGAGTCTTGAACCACGGTGGACAAATGATTTGTAACATGAGAACACTTCAGAAGCCTGTAAGATTTTTCCGGGGAGAGGTTCTCTTCCACAGACTTAGTGAATAGACCAGCAACCCTTACAGGCCTCATCTAATGTCCTTAAGCTTGTTAAGTATTATTTTTAAAATAATGATATATTAAGCATACTTATTAAGGACGAGGTCTCCAAACTTGGCAACTTTAAGACTTGTGGACTTTGAAGTCCACAAGTCTTAAAGTTGCCAAGTTTGGGGACTCCTGTATTAAGGGGATAAGCCATTCATTGTCTTTTAACAGCAATATCTTTAGAGTAAAGGATTCTGTCAGTATGTATCAATTTATATTTTGCAAAAAGACAATATAATTAAAAGTCTTGGTTCACATTTTAGTGATCACAATTTTTTTTTTAAAAAATCTTCACTCATACCACATTGTGATTCATGTCATACATGGAATGAAAAACATAAAATATGCAGAGTTTTTTTTTAGAACAAGCATTATTAACTCCTCAGTCTTTAAAGACAGTGTTAAATGAATGTTAATTGCTTCATCTTAAATATGCAGAAAGGGGTTTTTCTTAATAACAAGCTCTATGTTTTGTTTATTTTTGTTGATAAAAAGATGAAGCAGATGAATTTTATGTGGATATTTTCCCTCTGATAAGTCCATCTATGGAAGTTATTTTGTAGCATTTTGCAAAGGGCTTTTGAGAGCAACAATTTCACATGCTGTTCTTGCTCATCATTGCAAAAAGTCCGATTAGCAGTGCTGTAAAATGGAGCAGAAAACCTAGTGGCACCTTAAAGACTAATAGCATAACCTTTTGTAGGCTAGAGTTCGCATCATCTAATGGTCTGGCTGTATCTAGTATAGATGTCATTAGCAATGCAAAATAAATGGACGCCTTTACAGGAAATTCAGAAAGTTCAGCTCAAGGACATTTCAGTCCATAGTAGTTTATATTAAAATTCATTTTACTAGTCTCTAAAATGTTAAAAGAATGTTTGTGTAACTCTAGAACCATTTGTTTGGTGTGATTATATGATCTAATAAAATGAATGAACAATGCCTGGTTTTTTTCTTTTTTTTAAAGTAGTGTTCTGTTTGGCAAAGGTAGTATGGCTTGCTTGTTGACCTGTCTGAATTGCCTTTCTAATGTAGATAAAACAGCAATTTTATCTACAGGTAATACAGCAATTAATAGCAATTAAATTTAATCTTGGAAATAGCCTTTGTAAAAAAACCCTGCACACTTAAATAAACAAAAGTATAGAAGATATAGTGGATTAGTACTTCTACATAAATTTAATCAAAATTGTATCTAGTAGTGAGATATTGTGGTGTATGGGTGTTTGAAGAACACTGCTGTCTAACACAACATTAGGAATGTTTAGCTCACAAGTGCCTTCTAGGCCCAAGCCAGCATTTCTTTCTGAGACAATTATTATTGTTGTTGTTATTGTTATCAATTGTGTTATCAGTTTAAGACTTGTGCTAGAATTTACAACCTTAGAGATAATATACACAGACAAAACTGGATATTAGCATTTTAGGTGATATTGTGGATTATCTAAAGGTTTTGCTGAGGGAAGATGATGATAATGGTAACAGTAGATTTGTAAAGACGCTACTGTTCTTTCTTCCAAAAGGATATATTGTGTATATAAAAGTTCAATAAATTCTTGTCAGCTTATTTATTTTATCAAATAAGGTGACTCTGGGTGGCATACAACAAAGCCAAATATAAAAACCAGTTAAATCAATTAATTAATCCACATTATAAAACCAAGATTGTGAGAGGCTAATGAATTAATGTCACACATAGTGTGACTTCAAGTTTAGGGTCTAGTCTGAGTTATCTTAACTGCGTAGTAATGTTCTTTCAACTTTAGGGGTTACATAAGGTAATTATGTTGACGGTGGTTTAGATAATGCTGTTGACACACAGTTTAGAGGAAAATATAACATAAAGTTGAAAACAAAATAGGACAGAACTGCCCTGTAAGGAATAGTTTGGGAGTCATAGACAGTCTGACAGCATTCCTTTTTTGGCCATAGAAATATCCAAGGTGTACTAAAACATTGTAGGGGGTGATTTTTTTGTGTGATTTAAGAGGGGAAAAGCACTAGATATTTAACGTACTGAAACCCCAATGTATTATCCTTCCAGAATATGTCTCGGTACCTCTCTAACTAATGAGACTTGCCAACCCAACTTCTAAAACTTGTCTTGGATTCATGCCATTTCTTCATTCTAGTGTTCCATAATTTGTCTTCTTCCCCTCAGAAGAAGGCTCAGTTTTCATTGACACAGAGGGTTGTGTTTTCTAGGCTCTGATGATCTTTTTTGTTTTTGCTTTAATAATCCTCCTCCTGGTTGTTTCATGTTTATCTAGGTGAAATGTAGCATTGAAACTTGACTTCTTGGCTAACATTCTTGGCATCTGTTTACGGAGTTGATGTGTGATTTCAAAATTAACAGGCTTTCTTTTAAGGTCTATTCCTCCCTTGCTTACAGGCTAGCAGCATATCCTATGTTCTCTGAGCAAAATGGCAGCCGGCAAGAAATCTTGACATCCTTTCCAAAAGTTTCTTGGCAGGACTTCAGCTGCCTAAACAGTTTGTTGGCTTATGCTAGACACTTTAGTAGAGAGCTGGGCTCTATTTCTTCTTAAGCATTATATATCAAGAAGTGCTTGACATTTGCCTCCCTAAGGATATCATTTAAACAGCTTGTCTTGATCAATAGAATAGCTTCCTGATAAAATGAATACATAATCTGTATTTTTGGCAAGCTAAGGCTGCAAATTGTTCTTTCCTTTTGCTTTTGTTCCTGCAAGGTTTGTGCGGTAACCTAGCACTAAAGACCTGGTTCGTATTTTTTGCTGGGTGCATAAAGGCTACCATTAGTAGGCGAGCATTTTGTTCACAGTGATAATCATATATGTAACATTTCAGCAAAATATTCAAATGGCGTATAATTAGCTAGAATACAGGCAGCCCAAAGCATTCATGAATTAAATCTCCTATTGCACAATTGGAATTTGGTAATTTGATTTTCCCTTCCTTTTGCCCCTTCCCCATTTTTCCTTTTTAGAGCATGCAGATAGTCCTCGACCTACAACCCCAGTTGAGCCCAAAATTTCTGTTGCTAAGTGGGACGTTTGTTTAGATTGTACAGCCTTTCTTGTAACAGTTGTTAAGTGAATCACTGCAGTTGTTAAGTTGTAACAGTTTGTTTGTTAAATGAATCTGGCTTCCCCATTGACTTTGTGGTCAGAAGGTCACAAATGTTGATCACATGACTCTGGGACACTGCAACCGTCATAAATATGAGCCAGTTGCCAAGCATCTGAATTTTGATAATGTGACTACGGCGATACTGCTATGGTTGTTAGTGTGAAAATAGTTACTTTTTTCAGTGCTATTGTAACTTCGAATGGTGACTAAACAAATTATTGTAAGTTGAAGGCCACCTGCATTTAAGAAGATTCTGGGTACCTCATAATAAAAAAGTTACAGAATTCTTTTTCCTTAAAAAAAAACTATTAATGTAAGTTCAAAATGTGATCTAAGATTACATTTTTTAAAAAGGCCTAGAAAATTACAATGTAAAACAATTTAGTATGTGCAAGTTGATCAGAGTCCTCTTTTCTCCTTTGTCCAAAATATTCCTGATATTTTGATGGATTCCAAAACCTCTGAATGTACTGTAATCAACATGCCTGCTTGATTCCCAGTGATGGTTAATGTAATTATGGACCAACCTTGCCAATTTGAACCCCAAATGTGCTAATTATACAAGTCCAGTTCATTGACAGGAGATACCCAGTGGCCAACTTCCAGTCAGTGTGAAATTGCAAACTGTTACATTATGGTCTGATAGGAATGTTACCGCTGGCTCCAGGGGGTGAGTTGATTAGATCCCCTAGTGTTAAAAAGGGGGCAAAAAACAGCCCAAACCCAAACGGATCATTTTGGTTTTTTTAAAAAAGTGAGTAGTTTTGCTGCTACTCAGTTTTTCTGCTGTGTGATTTTCTAAAGGTAAGGTTGATCTGCTAAGAAACGTGCAGAACTCACACATGTAAGATTAGTGTTGGGAACAGCCTTTGAACAACAACAGCCCTGCTGGTTAAGATTCCTTTTCCTTTGATATTGGATGCAGTGCTTTAGGTCTGGCTTTGGACTTTAAAAAAAAATTGGTCAAAATATCAGTCTTTGCTTTGAAATCTAAATATTACACACTTAAGACTGTCCATAGGAGCCAATTTGGTGAAATGGTTAAGGTACCAGGCTAGACAATGGAAGATCATCCATTCTGAGTGACTTTGAGCCAGTCACTCTCATTCAGCCCTAGGGTGAAGGCAGTGGCAACCACCTCCCAAATTTTGCAGAGAAAAACATGGGGACTTGTCACATAGTTTCCAGGAGTCACTAACTAAAGGCGCACACACTCAGTCCCCCCACATCTCTGTTTATATTAACTGCTGGTAGAAAAGGCTTAAAAAGCCCACTGTCTCAAATTTGCGAGAGGGTTTCATATTTGTAAATGCATTATTTTGTAGACATTTGGCTGCTCTTATAAAGTTGTATTTTTTGCTATTCCGGAATCTAGCCTCTTACAAACTCTTCATGTTAGTCAAGCGATTGTTAAATGTAGTTGGGAAAATTGCTCGTGCTTGTTGATTGAACAGTGCAGAACTATCAAATGCAATTGGTACTCGGCTAGAGTATGCTTAGTTGTGATTTTATTTTTAAAGCAAGAATCTTTTTCCTCTTTTTTTAGATCTACAATGCTAAATGGACTTATGATTGTTCCTGTTCTTGTGGTGATAGTTTTACTTTCACCGAGCAAGGCTGGTAAGTATTTGGGTTTCAGATCATATTAGTGAAATGTATTTTAATATCACTGTTGTGTTTCTACAGGTTATATTGATTCAGTGAGAAAAGGTAACTCCACAGTGGAACATTCATGTTGTATATCCTTTGGGGGGCGGGGGAGTGACTTTGCTCCAATTAACAATTTTAAGGTTGGAGGCCCCATGTTCCAAGTCCCTTCTGGCTCTGTTCTTCCCAGGTTCATTATCATTTCAATTCCTGTGCTAAGCAGAAGGGTTGACTGGCTGGCCTAAATGACTGCTTCCAGTTGCATCCTGGAAAAACAGAGCATTCCATTTCTGTTTCTAGATCAGCAAAAACAAAATGTTCTTGGGCCTATGCCTTAGATTTTGTGTGTGTTCCTCTCCTGACTTCTATCAGAATTAGTTCTGTCAGCAAAGTTGGCCACACTTCTGATGTTATTTTGGAACACAGTTAAGATTGAGCTCTTAGTTGGACCTTCAAAGAGTGAGGAGATGATGGAAGCTACACCCCAGATATGGAATGGCAAATGCAGCGTTGAGTTTGTCTGTAGTGTAAACGTAGGTCTTTTTGGAAATTTCAAAACTATTTATTGTACATGGTTGTTATCTGAGGGGTCCTGGTGCTGTCTGAGCTTAGGTGTTTCATTACCCAAACTATGTGACATCATCAGTGCTGTTTTACTCCCTGCTAGGCCTGATTATCTTACCTAGTTTGGGTAATGAAATGTCTGCAAGAAAACAAGTTCAGAGCAATAGCAATAGCACTTAGATTTTATATCCTTCACAGTGCATAAAGCCCTCGCTAAGCAGTTTACAGAGTCAGCCTATTGCCCCCAACAGTCTGGGTCCTCATTTTATCGACCTCGAAAGGATGGAAGGCTGAGTCAACCTTGAGCTGGTGAGACTTGAATTGCTGGCAGTAGCAGAATTAGCTTGCAATACTGCATTCTAACCACTGCGCCATCATGGCTCAGAGAGCAACAAAGACCCCACGGTTCAACCCTGAACTACAAATATTCTCCTTCATTGGTACTGTTGTTATCTGCTTAAAATCTAGGGATTGAAGGAACATAAAGACCCAACAAATAAATAAATTCGAGCTGGAATCCATTTATGTCCTGCTGTGTTCTTTTCCTAAAAGAAATTGTTTGGGGACAAAACCGTGATGGCATTCAGCCCAGAAGAACTTGTCAGGTTATATAAATAGGTTATTGGCATAAAGCTATTGTACCATCAGTAAAATGTTTCACCAAGAAACAAAGCAGTGAGCGGTTGAGCTAAAGTTCATGTAGGTATAAAATTTGGTTTTCCTTTCTCAAGAGTCCATATTTCGAGGGAGTTGTGTTTTGAGTATGACCATTTCTCTGGTATGAAATAAGTATGTTGTGTTTTCATATTCCCCTCTACCCTCTTTAAATTAGTGATAAGCTTTATTCCTTGAGTGCAGACATGGTTTATTCTGAGCCGAACATAACTTTAAAGTCTTTGATAGGGGAGGAATGTCTAGTGGTGGTACCCATTGTACAAACTTCCTTTTATCTTGCTAGACTTGCTAGTTTATAAGGTCAGGTATTACTTAACCCCAATAAGAGGGACCTTTTTGCTTGTTAAGAGTTCTCAGCCTTTAAAGTTGTAGGAGCGTAAGATTGCAAAAAAAGTAACTTTTGAGATGACTGGACAATGAAGGCTTTTATTATCTACACTGAAGCTATCCATTATTAGAAATAACTTATAAAATAGAAACCAGTGTCTTCAGAAGTGAGGCATGCATCAGTCATATATTGCATTAGAATTCTGGTAGTTGTAAATGTTAATTACATATATAGGTATATGCATGCGCACCCGTACATGGAGATTTATTATAGATCCTAGATCAGGGGTCCCCAGTCTGTGGCATGCCAGAAACTGGTCCACGCAACCAAGTAGCCCTATCCATTGGATGCTGGCAGCACGTGAAACCACATCTCCTCCGGTCCGTAGAAAAACCTCTCTCCACAGAACCGGTTCCTGATGCCCAAAAGGTTGGGGTTAGGCTGCTATCCTAGATGTCTTCCCTTACTCCAAGAACCATAAAGTATTTCTCTCCTACTGTTCAGACAACTGGAACTGTATCTGCTTTTCTTTAGGACAATTAAGAAACATTGTGCAGGTAGTCCTCAACTTACAGTAATTCGTTTCGTGACACATCAGAGTTACAATGGTAGAAACAGAAGTATTGTGTAGCATGTTTATATAACATTTGCTGTGAGGACAGTCCCAGTTTCTCAAGCTGATCCACCTAGTTTTCATCGTTATATTGTAATGCCCTTTTCATAGATTATTATAGACAGGCCTAATATACTGCTTTTAGAATTTTTCTTCTGTATTTTGCTCTTTCCCTTCAACATATCACTGTCAATAAATGCAGATCAAAAACAAATATTTGCCAGGATAGAATACGTAAGCAAGAAAGCTACACTATTGAAATACTCTGCAACATACTGCAAACTGTGTCACAGCATGACTGATAAAGTAATACATTTTCTAATGCCTGCTGTGTTATTTTGTACAGCATTTATTAGTTCAGATGGTACATTAGAACAAGTCATGTTGCTATTTAAGCCCAATTCCGTAGAGAAGAAGCACTAAAATAAAGGTGGAATGCCTATTAAAGGCAAGGGTTTTATACTTCCCTTCTCCCAAGACAAATGGTTAAAGATATGCTCAGGGGTTCTTTTATGAAGGGGAAAAAAATGTCTATAAAAGTTATAAATTTGTCAGCTGCAAAGCAGGTTGAAACACCTAAAGGACCGCTTTTTTAAAAGGAGAAATCATTAAAATGTAAAGAATATGAATCAATATGCAATCTGTTTGATGATAATTTATTCTGTTATGAGAAATATTGTAAAAGGATATAAGTGGCCACAATGGAAAGAACCAAGTTTTAAAATTTCTACTTGAGGTTTTTTGAACAAATAAAATATTTTCAAAATTGGATGTTACTGCAGACTGGCAAGGGATACGGAAAATTCAGTGGTAGTGTCAAAAAGTTGTATTTATGAAGCCAATTATTAGCTTGGTCAGAGAGTTGCAATTCAAAAACGTTGTGGACTAAGTCAAATATGCCTATGAACATCCAGAAATGAGGCACAAAGCTGACAAGGCAACTTTGCATATTTGTTGCCTTCATATCTTTCCAAAGTTCACACTGATTTTTCTATACAGAAATAGTAAAAATGCAGCAATGGTGGTAGAGCCCTGAATTACATCACTGAAATCTTAAAAGATCAGAATAACCATTTATACCCTCAAATAGTGTAAGAGATTTGGGGAATTCATCAACAAATGATGTGATGTCAACATAAGGTAAAATACATTGTATTAATATAATCTAATACAGTGGTCTCCAACCAGTGGGCCGGGGACCACTGGTGGTCCACGAGAAAATTTTGGTGGTCCACAGAGAAATGTCACTCCCAAAACACCTCCCAAAGCACCCTCCAAAGCAATTAATCCAGGCTGCGTGGGAAAACAAGGCTGCGCCACCCACATGGCCTACGGGAACACAAGGCTGCCATTCCTTGCATTGTGAAGTACACGAGATAGTGAGGGGAGGGGGGAAAGGGCGGAGGAGGGGAACTTGCCCCATGCACCCTACGCGCCTGGCCTGGCTACTGGGTTGCATCTTTCCACTTCTTTCTTCTGCAAGGAAAGCAGCATGCATGGAGAGCAGCAAAAGTCTTTCTTTCTCTCCCCCAAACTCTGCCAGAAATGAGTCTTTGGGACCCTGCAAGGCATCCTCCAAGAGGCTGTGCCGGCAAAGACTCATTTCTGGCGGAATTTAGGAGAGAGAAAGAAAGACGTCTGCAACTTCTGCTGCTTTCCTTGCATGAAGCCCAAAGTCTCTCTCTCTCCCCTGAGAACAAAGCTGGAGGCGGTATCCTGTGATCCCAAATAAAGAATGATTGATCGGTAGGAAAATGGGGTGGGGAACTTTCCTGCAGACTTTTTTTTAGGATTTTCCCAGGGTCTCTGGTCCGTGGGATTTAAATTAAGAGTTTGGTGGTCCCTGAGGTCCAAAAGGTTGGTGACCCCTGATCTAGTAGACATGAATATTTATCTTTTGTAATACCTATCCATTCTATTGTAATACCTGCTTATAGTTTAAAAGTGCAGGTAACGCTCCTGGAAAAGTGTTAAAAAATACTTACCCTGTGAATTGCTGAACCAGATCTGGAGGGCCTGGCTCTTCTTGATGTTGCTGAACAACAACACCCAGCAGCCACAGCAACAGGGGCCAGGAGTCGCCGTAGTTCAGCAACAGTGAGATATAGCATGTTCCCCATTCTTGTGCTTAAAAAATTGCAGGAGTCCAGAAAATGAAAGGGCTTGCATGAGTTTTACACATATAAAAAAATTCATAGATACGAACACGCCAGGAAAAAATTTTTTTATAAAAAAAATCAAAACTACTTGATACCAGTAGAAGAGAATATTAGTAGCTCAGGGTTGTATTGCAGAGTTCTGGGTGTTCTCTGAGTTTGGTTATTTTCTGGCAAACGTTTTATAACCTAACTAGCTAATATCATCAGTGCTAGAAGGGAATGGGGCTTGCCACTCTCTTCTAACGCACTCCTCTCTGTTGTAGCATTGATGGTATTATCTAATTGGATAATGAAACGTCTGCAAGAAAACAACCGAGCTTAGAGAGTACCCCTAAGGACCCCTACAATACCTGAATCGTTAGAAAGATATTAACGATTGAAAAATTGTAACTTGTTGCTTTCGCCCTACAGACTTAAAAAAAGCTTATTTGTTAAGGTGGCATACCCGGGGAATAGTCTGTTTCCCTACAAGGAATGCTTGTTCATGTTTTCTGGGGGAGCGGATGGAAATAGCATAAAATATTAATAATATTGGTTTTATTTGGACATCCATAAACTACCGTAGCTAAACTCTTTTATGGGGATAGTCTTCCAAACGAAGAAGTCAAGTAAGATGAAAAACTATAGAAAGCTCAATACCGACATGAAAGTGGTAAAGGATCAGAAACAACAGATAATATAGAACTACTTCAGACTTTGTGGGGTAGGCGATTAAGCAGTTTCTGTGGAGATTCTCAGTCATCCAGATCATGGTTGTCCCAAAGGTGCTTTTTTTAAAAGAGGCAACTGGACTTTATGGTTTTTGTTTGAAGACGTTTCTCTTCTCCAAGAAACTTCTTCAGCGCTTTGGAGAAAGGGGTGAGAAGCGAAACGTCTTCAAGAAAAACCAGAAAGTCCAATTGCCTCTTGAAAAAAACACATTTGGGACAATTAAACAGTGGTTCAGGGGGCAAAATGTGTATTCTGAGCCTTGATCAGTCCTTCTGTGCTTATTTTTTCCTGACAATTACTGCTTTCAGTATCTGATAACCTGGAGGATAAATTCAGAATAACTTTTTGTTTTTTTCTTCTTTACCACTACAATGTTAATGATTACTTCCATTTACAATATTAACATTTCTGTGTCCACCTCTCTTAATGAGGAGACGGGCCTCGTTCCATCAGATTTACCAGTATATTGCTCCATTAAAAAAGATCTTTTAAAGCTACATTCTAATCAATAACTCCATAATTATTGGCTGAGAACAAACTATCTCATAAATATAATATACCAAACATTTTTTTCAATAAGCCAACTTGTAGTAACAAATTATGCAAAGTAATGTGATTTTATATCTGTGAAATGTGCTAAATGTACCACAGGTTTATTCGATTTGTTCCTCCACAAAACCTTCCAGAGATTTTTTTCCCATCCTCCTGGCTTCACTTGCGGGCGCAGCTCAGCGGCGGGCGCATGTGCCTGCCCCTAGCACAAATGGAGCTTCACACATGAGCACGAGCACCTGCTACTTGTGTGGTCCAGGGGTTGGGGGCCCCTGCTTTAAAGGAAATGAGTAAGTTTAGATTTTTTTAAAAAAAGCTTCCATTGCAAGTTGTCTCCAACTCTAGAGGATCGTAGTCATCTCTGATTCACAACTAAAGAGCTAGCACTTGTCTGAAGAAGCATCTGTGGTCATGTGGCCAGCATGACTATACTCTGAAGGTGCACAGAACCCTGTTAGCCTGCCCACTGAAGTGGTACCTACTTACTTGCAATTAAATGCTAGGTGGGCAGGAGTTGGGGCAAGTAAGGGGAGCTCGCTCCATCATGTGGTATGTGGGTCTCGAACTTCTGACCTTCTGGTTGATAAGCCCAGGGTCTTCACTGCTTGGCCACCATGCCCCCAGGTTTAGATTAGTAGAGGGCTATTTCTGCAGGCTGAGAAGTCATGCCACTTTTTGGTTGGTTGCAAGCTTTGCCAGACTCCAAAACTGGACCTTAATGGAAGAGGTAAGGGATTTTGACCCTTAAACTCCCAAACGTCTGAAAAACAAAGATTTGCTAAATAATATCTGCACCCTAGATCTCAGTGAAACTTCAAAGAGTTCTTTGGATGGGTTCTTGACTTAGAGATTTGACAAGGTTTTGCCCACCTCCTTCAAAGTCAAAAACCTAGCTATTTATAAGATTTCTCTGTAGCGTTTCCTTAGACTAGGAGTATCTGGTTTCTTCAGGTGCAGAGCAGTGGTGGGTTTCAAAACTTTTTCCTACTGGTTCTGTGTCAGTGCATGCTTTGTGCACGCGCAACGTTTGCAACTCACCTGCTGCAAGCCCAGTGTGTAAAACAGCTGACATGTGGCAAACGGCTATGCTGTGTGAAGCAGCTGAGGTTGAAAAGCAGTAAATAAAGGTCAGTATACAGCCGGGTGGGTGGGAGGGCCCAGCAGCTGATCGTCAGAGCTACCAGTTCGACCGAACCGGTAGAATACCACCACTGGTGCAGAGAATAGTGGACACCACAGTTGGAGTGATAATATAGGAATGCTTCTGGCAAAGCCAGTCAGGAGATTTAACAATCGTCTCACTTTGCAACAGAAATGTTGGGCTCTATTGTGGTGTTAAATTAAGGACTACCTGTAATGGTTGATTTTACAGAGTTTGTGGAACCAGCTATATTAACTGATAACCATAATGTGTGGACTGGGTATGTGAAAAACTGAACCACCTTATGGCTTAGTATCATATGTGAACCTGCCTTCTTCCCTCCCTCCCTCCCTCCCTCTGTGTGTATGTTCTGAGAATAAAACTTATAATTGTTATGATTCTGTAGTATAGGTAGTAAACCTGGATTAAAATGAAAGATTCTTTGAGAGGAGATGGTCAAATTTGATGTTGCAATGGCTCAAAGTTTTCAGATAGAGTAGATGAACTCCTTCACCTTTTCTAGCCATTGTAAGAAAGAGTTGGATAGTCTGTGGTAGTAAAAATCAGGAGCCTACCAGTCTCTCAATTTTTTTGCCCCTTTTAGCTCTATGTACAGCTTCCTTCCTACTGACAGAATGTGTAGCTTGTTCCCTTTTCATTAGATTTAACCTGTGCAGGAAACAGGAGTTCTCTTTATGGGGTTCCTTGGTGTCTCACTGTCTCTGTGGTCAAAATATTAACTGAATCATTCAAGCCCACAAATTTCCTCCAGCATTGTGTAGCAAAACCAAGTAACATAATCACCGAGTTTTGATAGCAAATGGTAAAACTCAGCGCCAGCGGACAATACCTGGAGTTCATTCAATAGCAGAGCAGACTGTGACTTTTGTAAGAAAGGAAACCCTGTTTGGCATTAAAACAGAGGTCTCCAAACTTGGCAACTTTAAGACTTGTGGACTTCAACTTCCAGAATTCTCCAGCCAGAGTTGAAGTCCACAACTCTTAAAGTTGCCAAGTTTGGAGACCCCTGCACTAAAAGAACATTAAGCAAGGTGCCTTTCTATTTCTTACGTGTATATTCTCCCCTTCAGAGAGTGTCTTAGATCTCCTAAGTGGGCCCTCTGGCTTTCAAAGAAAATGCTGGAATTCATAACAGGTTGAAGATATTAAAAAAAAAAGCCAGGTGAATTGTTTATAAATGAGAAGGGTTATTTGGATTTTCCCTCCCAAATGCATTGCATTTGTTCTTTATACTGAGTCACGTAAAAAAAAATGCACACAGCAATACAAACTTTTACCATAAAGTACATTTGATAATAGGATGTGTCTTTCCATTATACAAGAGCAATTCTTTACAAAAATACATACACTTTTTTTCTGAATTGATCGACCAAAAGGGGAAAACCAATGCATGCTTCTGACTGGAAAAATGTCCAAGGGAAAACTAAGAGATGTTTGCCTCTGTTTATACTGTGTGTATCTTCTAAAGTACATCATGTTGAAATACCACTGGCAATTATTAAATACCAGTGGGTGATGTGATTGAACAGAATGTTCAGGGATTCCTTGGCTTCCTAATTTAGATAGGTTACCTCCAGGCTGTCCAAACGTCAGGAGAACTGTTTGATCAAGTAGTGATCAGATCAATAATGAGAATGCAAGGATTGTGTCTGTTTGGATATTGGGCCATGAAAATGACAATGATTTTAACCTACTCTAAATAGGACCTTGTTTAAAAGGCAGACTCTGAACAGCCAAAGAAACAAATGGATCATTGAACAAATTAACCCGGAGTTCTCACTTGAGGCACAAATGACCAAACAAAGCTAAGTGAAGACTTAGCACTCTGGAAAAGGCTCCAAAGATAGGAAAGATGAAAGGAAAGAGAAAAAGGATGACCAGCAGCAAGGGACTCAGTTACAGTAACAATGAATATGGTGATGGAAGATCTGAAATACCAAATCAGGAGTAGATTGTCACAGAGAAAATCCGTGTAGTTGTCAACAATGATGTGATGGCACATTATCCGTTAGGAGACTTTTGATTATAGGTAATCCTCAAGTACGACAGTTCACTTAGTGACCGTTCAAAGTTACGTGATAATCCCACCCAAGTATTTACGACACAGTCCCACAGTTGAAATTATGAATGTTGCAGCGACATGGCAATTGTTCACCTTATGAATGACCGCAGAGGCACGGCAACATTTTACCTGCCTATTCTCTTCCCACTGGCTGCCCACAATTGCTTCCCCTCTCCCGCACTGCAACCACGCCAGACTCACTTATCTTGCAGAGATCTCTCCTCTCTGCCGCGATTTCTTTGAGAGCGGGACAATTTCGCTTCCAGTATCCGATCAGCTTCCAAACACTTTCCATGCGCTGAGAGTGAAAAGTTCTGGG